GACTGAAAATGCCTACTAGATATTGAAAAGATTGCTTCAATACCCTACTAGATATTGAGAAATTCTGAAACGAATTGCATCTTTTGTCAATTTCATCACATGCAGTCTAAAAACCGCATAAATACAAAGTACATTTCTAAAGAAATGTTTCAGTAGTTTATTTTTTTTATTATTTATACATTGTTAAGTACTATAGGTTTATAGATAGATTTTCCTGCTTGTTATTTGTTTCAGTCAAATCTTGAAACTGAATTTTGATACTATTTCATCAAAATGAAGATTTTTTAATTTTGATAACTTATGTGTTAGTAGTATTTCAAACAATTTATTCAAAATTTAATTAATCTGAACCTTTTTTCAACAGCGCTGAAATTTTCTCACTTGTCTTTGCTTAGTGATCAAACTAAATATCGCACAATTTCCAACTTCGCATCATCGGATGTATTGAAATTCCTTTTGAATCATTGTCCTAATTACTCGACCACCAAAAATGGCTTTTAGTTTAAAAAATGCTTGTTCTAGGTACTGAGCGCCGCCTGAGATAACCGCTGACCTGACTTTGTTGTAAAAGTCTTACAAGTGTTAATAGTCATCTTGGCAGAAGGGAATATTTCCTCCGTGTAAAAATATAAATATTACATGGGCATACAAGGCCTGTGTATAAACACAGATATATTAATTACGAACACTGTCATGTACAAGTTACATGTGATAGTTACATAAAATCATGACAGATATGTATGTTACCGTGAAAGACCGAAATTGGAGAATGTCGACTTTCACCGGGAAATATCAACATTCACCAAATACGTCGGTGAAAGACCGAATATTTCACTACATTCTTGTATATTCGGACCCTCACCGGTGTATGTCGACAATCACAGATATGCTCTGGTGAAAGTCGAAAAGAGAGGTCATAAGTGCCATAATAGTTTAAGTTGTTGCAATAAATAAGATTTGAATCACATAATTTAGTAAGTTTTTTATTACTGTGTTATTTATTTTCTCATTTAGAACATACTGTGTAATTAAGTAAGTTTTTAACTTTTATTATTTTCCTTTCTCATTTTGAATGTATTGTGTGTTTTAGGTTCTCATGTTCTTAAGTTCTTATTTTAAGTCTCAAGTGCGTGTTTTCGCGACTGAATTACGGAGAAGAAAATATAATATTGTTATATGTTCAGAATTCACCATTAGTACATGGTAAATGTCGACATTGACCGGTGTAAGTCAGAAATAAGAGTATTTGGGAAATATTTCGGACATACACCAAGAGACTATGTGAATGTTGACATTCACCGGTGAAAGTTGACATTCTCCAGATTTCGGTGTTTCACCGTAACATATACATTTAAACATTATCTGAATTCATATTTATAATACTTTTACTGAGATAATCAAAGTAAACTTTTAATTCATTTACACGTTGACTGGATTTTCAATGTTATTTTAAACTGCTTTACAATATTATTTTTATATACAAACTGGATAGTAATATGCTTACATTACAATAGTTTTGCTCTTACAGTCCTGTTACTATTCTTACGTGGTGAGCTATTTTTCTAGTGTTGATTTTCAGTTGTTGTAGTATTTTGAATTGCTATTAAAATTATGCTGCGAAGGTACAATTCTCAAGGGAGGAGCAGAATTTCTTAGTACCTTGCTGAGCATAGCCTGATCACCTCCTCTATTTTAGTTTTCGTCTGCTTGTTGGCGCAGGTATTCTCCGCCCATTGCGGCCAGTATTCACTGCTTGGCATTTTTAAATGCAGTTTATCGGTTTGTGGGCAGTTGAAGAGGAAGATATCTGCATCACCTACCGCACCACATTCACACAATTCTGATGCTCGTTTGCCGAATCTCTTAAGATAATGTGGGAAGGGACCATGGTAGAATTGCCAGTGTAGAATTGAGTTTTTTGTGTTCCGCTGTATGTATTAACTGAGCATGTAACTTTCGGAAAGAACTTGTAGGTTTTCCTCATGGTAATTTCGCACAATTATCACTTAGCTTTTCGTAACACTTCTATGAGCTTCACTTTTTAAGAGGAAAAATAAGGATTGTAAAAGGGAAAACAAGATTTTATGTCTATCAAGTAAAAACGTAAAAATGCCAGTTCAATGTAGTATGCTTTTAAAAAATAGAAAGTATGAAAAACGCAAATAGGCGAAATTTTCGGTACTACAAGATTTTCATAGTTATACATCGTGTTATTAATTCTTTTACTGTCCTTTTTTGCATTGTTTAAAACTTGCATAGCTTTGCATTTACTTTCATTGTGTTGTTTCTTGCAAAGTTACTAAAAACGCCATCCGATCTACTGAAATAAGGTTTATTTGATTGTTATTTCAACGGACTTAACATTAAAATAACTCTTTTACTCATTTCCTGATAGCTTTATTTATGCAAATGTTTTTCCGAAACTAAAAACATATTAATACCTTTCTCGCAATCAAAGTAAAGCACGCAACTAAATTTTTTTCACTTTCTCTTTCATTTGCGATCTTATATATTTTTTAATTAGCATTTTAATTATATCAAGGTGTACTCTTGGCGGGAGGAGATTACCCTTTTTCACTGTAAGATTATAACAGTGCATGTCAATTTCAAAAGAGAATAAATTCACGAAACTTCCGGTGAGACAAAAAATAATGTAGACTGAACGTCACATAAGCAAGTGAAAATTTAATCTAAAAATTAAAAATGTAGGATGATATGCGAAATCAGAATCCTAATTAAAAGAATTTCTACTACTTTAACACTTTTAAGGAATACACAGTATGCAATTGAAATAAAGTTAACGCATATTTATGGAATATATTCATGAAATATTTATATAAGATACGAGTGTACTGCGAGTAAGCACACTTCTAATGGAGTTCTGAAATTTTAAATCTAAATATAAGAAATCTTTTTCCGGTTTGTTGCCACTTACTAAAAGGAATTCAGATATTTCAGTTTAAAAAAATAAGTCTTTTTTCATATATTTAACTGTTTAAAATCTGAATGATTATTACTGAATTCATAGCCTGCTAACGCTTTATCTTTTAGTGATATATTCTGTGGAAATTTTCAAATTCATTAGATTCCGAATTCAAGTTATTTCTTAATTAACCTAGCGATCTAGCTTAACCATAGTGTTAAGATACGCCTGTAGACTTCTTGAACATAAAGACAGTTTAATCAATGAAAATTTATTTATCACGGTATCAGATCCAAAACTTCGCGGCAAAATCATCGTGAATCAAAACATCACGGAGAAAACACAAGAAGAAAATGCTGACGTACAAAACATCTTAAGAGAAAAGAAAGTAATGAGAAAACATCGCAGTTAAAAAACGGTGCTGTAATCTATTTTCTAGAAAATAAAGAGGTTAAAAAACTTTTCAATTTTGAAATATGATTGAATATCGTGGTAAAAATTTAAGCACCTGAAATCATCGCAATGATAACAGCACTGATATGCATTTTCCGAATTCAAAAAGTTGTTAATAAAACTTAAAGAAGACGAATAAAATTAAACAAAATAAACTTTAATTTTTACTGAAAGAATATCAGATTTCAAATGGTGATAGAGAATAATATTAAACTGATAATAATTTGATCTTTATTTGAGGAATTTTGGTAAAAATCATTTCTCATCTTTTTTTCCTAACGTATTTTATTTTATGTTTTTCCCGAAAAACTGCTAATGCAAAAGATATTAATCAAACAATATCCTTTAATAATTAATTACACAAGTTTAAAATTATGTTAACTGCCATTTATTTCTATTTATTTTCAGTTTTTGAATGCGTAAGTTTCCTTCTTGCTTTTTCAGCAAAAATTTGTTAGTTAATTCAAAAATGCGAAATCTAGAGGTAAAACTATTCTTTATACGCTATTAAATCGTTATACAAATGTGTTAGTTAATTCAAAAATGCAAAATCTAGAGGTAAAACTATTCTTTATACGCTATTAAATCGTTATACAAATGTGCATTTAAATCCTTTGAAATTTGAAAATAGATGTCTGTCCATGATGTCATCATGGTGCAATGATTTGCAGAAGCTTTATTTTTTACAACGATATTTTTCTAAGACTATATTTTAAAATTACGAAGATTTGAATTTTATTTTTCTACTGCGAAGTTTTATACTACGATGTTTCCTCCTTGCTTTTTTCCCTTCCACGATGTTTTATACTATGATGTTTTGCCTTGCACTGTTTTTTTACAATGTTTTCGCCTGCAATCATTTGCCCGATATATAGATTATACATCGAAGAGAAGTTTAAAAAATGACAGTGCTTACACGAAATAATCTCAACACTTTCCACTATTTTTACTCTAAAAACTATATGATCTTACGAACAAATATTGTGATAAATGAAGCTGCAGAATGAGAGGAAAGAGCTCCTTTATTACATCATTACATAATTACGCTGTTAATATACGAATTAAACTGCATAATCATTGTATGTATAAACTTCATAAATGCCAGTAAATTTAATAGCCACGTTTACCTGAGCAATTTCAATTTAGAGTTGCATCCAATATACTGGTATGCCTAAATGGTAACAATGTACGGTTAACAATGCACTTGAGACACAGCTAAAAGTACTAAAAACTAAGACTCTTCTTTTCAGAATTATAATAAGACAAAGTAAACATTCACCAATATTTTAATTCATAATCCAAATTTTAAATTAATTCATAATTCAAAACGTTGGAAAATATTTTTATTACTTATTTTGTTCTTGTTTGCAAGCTAGAAAACAACCTGTTACGTTTATGTAACAGGTTGTATTGTATGTTAACTTTCTATTATGGCTTAATTATAAATAAATATTTGAAATCGTTGTAGATAGTTTATTTCTTCAAATAACGGATAGAAGATTCATGTTGAAATTAGGTATAATAAAGTAGAAAACTTTTTAAGTTTCAAAAATAAACGGAAAATATAATTAGTATTTCCCTTCAAAGTTAAGAAAAAGGGAAGAAAACGAAAATATCACTTTACCTGCTTCCTCTGCACAATCTCTCCCTCGCTGTTTCCACATACAGGTATGGCATGATGGCAACTCTTCGATATTTATAATGACGGCAGTTTCCGATCTGTTCGCTTATCAGTGCCGTCTGATCCAATAACACCTGGACATAGTTGGGACTATGAGAGGAGCACGTTGTGGGATATTCCAATAGCCAGCGCCTCTAGGTGTTCCTCGGACGGAAGGAGCGTCGGGCAGCGCCCCCTCTTGGTAATAGCGGTAAAAATCAATCCTAACTCTCCCGCGTTGAAGCAATAATTCCCCGAAGTAATTTGCGCTTTTCTGCGTGGGAATTTCGGAGAATTTACAGGTACGGTACCTGGAAAACAAATGGATTTGAAAAAATGACGTTTCATTTAGAGTGTTGAGGTATATATATAAATTTTATGTAGCTAATAAATCGTAGTATTATATAAAGAAAGCACTTAGTGGAAATGAAATTGTTCATGGCTGTTAATGGAAGTTTATCAAAACTTCCATTAACGACCATGAACAAGTTTATAAAAAAATTCTAAAATCTGAACATTGATGAATGTTATTGTACGCCGTTTGAATAGACTGTTAACTATTAAAACTGTATGCACTTATCCAAAGTTCAGAAATAATTACCATCAAAACTTGAAAAATACGCAACAATAATAAATGGTTTAGGGTAAGTCAGCGAGCGTTTCTCAAACTTTTGCCAAGTGAGAACCACTTTGATAAATTAGAATGTTCTACTTTTGTCCTTTTAAATTAAAATTTATTTAATTTTATGTTGGTATTAAATAATTAACTTAATAGAAGGAAATTTGTACTTTTTTTTAATAATTCAAGGCTATTAGAAATTCGATAACTTTTGTCTTATAAACTGAAAATTAAATAAATGTTGGTATTCACGTTAAGGACATGGATGAGCCTTCTGATTCTTGCATAGCTGTTTTATGTTCGGGTGTATGCTGGTAAGAAGTGTCACAATCATAATGTTTTAAATCTTTCTTCTATTGCTAATACTAAAGTGTGAGATCCGTAAGTAGGGTATCGGGTAATAGAATTAATAAAATATTAGCCTTGGAAGGAAAAAAGGATAGATGATTTTAATGTACAATTTCCAAACTCTAAGTGTTTCAGCTAAAGTGAGATCAATTTTATTTTTTGTCTTCTTGGAAATCAAGAAAGACAAAAGGTCAGGCTTTGAGGATCAGAGATACACAAACATCGGTTAGGTTTATTTGAATATGCAAGGTACACAAGGGTTATCAACCTGAGGAGAGCCCTCAAAAAGGACTTTCTAAGAGAAATTGGTTCATATTCATGCTAAACACGGGCAAAATTTTAAAACCCAAACATGAAGCCAGCTACTTTTTTCTTGGGAGGGAAGTCCAAGTCGGTCTCCCAGTATTCAATGGTGCTAACTATTCGGCCGTTGTTTGAGCTGATGTCAAATGATAACTGCATGCAGATTGAATAGAAATGTTAACTAATAAAATTCCATGCACTTAATTGAAGCTTGAAAGTTAATTACAGTGAGATATAAAGTAACAGAATGAATCCAGTATTATGGAAGAAAACACGTGTAGGATTGCATATATTTTATTGCTTTTATAAGTAAAGATCTTTTAAAACCAATTATTCATTAACAACAGTAACTCCAAGATAACAATTATTCTTTCGCTCTTAAAAAAAGCATATTATAACTTTTATTTGTTTTATTTTACTTCCATCAGATATATAATCCGAGACCATGGAAAAGTACTTATATTTTTAAATAATAAAATATTTTGTCTTTTAAAATTTGAGACATTTATTTCTGTCTGTCTTTACTGAAATAAGACATGCGGTCTTTCTCCCATGCCTTTTTTTACAGTAATATTTCTTATTATTTTCTTTATTCTTGCATTTAGTCTGCTTATTTCTTTATTTTCTTTATTCCCCAAGCATAACTTGTTGACCATCAAGCTGTGTACAGATAAAGACCCTGTTACCATTATATATATGTGTGTTGCACAGGAAAATCAGAAAAAAGATTTTTTTTTTTTTTTCAAATTTTGCAAATTCACAGAGAATAATATTTTACGAGATATAAAGTTTACGAGATATTACTTCTCATAAAATGTAGAAAATATAGCATAAAAGTTAAATGGTAAAATTTACCGTTAATCATAAATTTCTAAGTTTTACTTCGCTATTTTAGTACTTTTCATAGCTAATTTGCGTTCCATTTATTAATTAATATTAAAATGTAAAAATGAAAATTACTTTAGAAGTAATAATTAACGTATATTATAATTGTGTAATAAACTAATAGTATTGCATCTTTATAGATTAAATATACAAACATTAAATCAAATTTGTAATTTCAGAGCTACAAGATGTTTATGCTGATGATTATTAACAATTAACAAGCGAATGCAGAGATTCCTTCGAAACATTACTTTACAGATGTTACTGGAATATGTTCTCACTAAATACTGATGCGTGCAGGTGATGCATGATGCAGTACGCATCATTTGTATATTTTTCATATATACAGATACAGTTGGGTAGGGCACCAAAATGTTCTCATTTGTCGTATAGATAGTCCCATTTCATTAACGGCAACGATGCATTCTGCACCTCAACTTGGAATTATATTTCAATATAATTTTTCATTAAAAACTGTTATAGGCTTCAAGTTAAATACCACTTCCTCTTGTCCATTAAAACTTGTTATAGGCTTCATGTAAAACACCACATCTGGTTCTCTAGTTTTGCCCAAAATCTAATCAAACTCTTTATATAAATGCATAAATTTATGCATGAAAAACAAAATTTTTTGGAAATTTCACATAAGAGATATCGTAAACGAAACCAATCGTCACACATATGCAGGAAAAATCAATTCAAGAACATTAAAAACCCTAATTCGTGCTTATTCACTGAAAACTCGATATTTGACCACCCTACTTCCTTTAGTCCAGTTGCATGTCCTCTCTCAAATGGACTCCTGTTGGATTCCTCTCTCAAATGGACTCCTGTTGGATTCCTCTCTCAAATGGACTCAGTAGTCAGTCTGCTCATGTTGTTCGTGAACCCGTATACAAGGTATTGATACAGTCCACGTAGGTCGACGGAACCACATTCGCATGCAAGTTAGGCCTTAGAGTTGCAATGTTTTCTGTATTTCGGTTGCAATGAGCTGGAGCTCCAGCTAATCAGTAATTGGCCGCCAGAAGTTCATCATTTGTACATTCTAACATAACATATGGGCATATGCAATTTCGAACCATTCGGTTCTTGGTGCGTCAAGTCATTCGAGAGAAATATCGCAAAATGAAAGATTTACTGAACCATCATTATTGACATTTTCCTCTTCTTAATTAACGAAAGCAGGCAGTAGACAAGCAGTTAACTTTCTACGGTAAACAAGAATCTGGTTGGATATTTTTGAACGAGAAGATTTAGGAATTAAATTAAGGAGTTTTATACTCTTTACATTTTACAAATATTTTCCTTACACTTTAACAAGTAAAAAATTAAATTATATAATATAAAACTAATGTATAATAATTCAAATAACAATTAAAATTGAGTTTTTGTGCTATTAGAATATTTGATTTTGCTTTTGAAAATGTATTGATATTTGCAGAAATAAAAATGATAAAAGTGCAAAAAGTAATAAAACATTAATCTAATAAAACTCTTTTTTTCATATATATCTTCTATCTTTCTTATATATCTTAAACATCTTCAATCTATCTGCAGAGTTCCTTCTGAGGAATGTTTTCCTTCCTTACCTCTCTCCTTCGTGCGGTAATTGGAAACACTACTGACTAGCAATCGGGGGTTTCGAAGTTCGAATCTCGGGAGGGCATTGCTGATTATCGCCTGTATCTTGCTCCGAGAAAAAATCTATTGTCTCTAGATGTGAAATTGAAATTAAAATCAGGTGGATGATAATTCATCACCCCTGGTGACTGGATGACTGGTGACTCCGGTGACTGGGTTCCCTTTTCTTCAGATGCTTATGTGGGGAAAAAATGTAAAGAAATTTCTCCTTTCTTGTCTCATTCTTTTATATTGTAGTTTTAAGCACGCCTGACTGACGATCGGGAGGGCATTCTTGATTCTTTCACGTTATATTTTTGAAAAAAGTCTTTTGATTTCGAAACTGATTTAAATTGAAATCAAATGTAAGTTATTTCAGTTTAAAAGAAAAATAAAATATTTTAGTATCAGATGGAATTGTAAAAGTAAACTATTTATGATAATAACAACAGTTTTTATGAAAATAACATTTTCTGATAATTCATACTATCTGTGTAAATATAAAATAACAATAATTATGACAATGCTCTACGTAATATACATAAATATTGTGACAGAACACTGAATCTTTTTAAAAACTCGAATCTTCCCACTTTTTTTTTTTTTTTTTTTTTCATTTGAAATTTTTGAATTGCATTCTAAAAAGCGTCAAACATTTGGTTCAAAACTTTGGAGGGAGTGATTTTATTAACATCCAATAAAAGTGTCCATTGGGGGAGGAGAAGGCGATTGTTGCAATTGGGGTGCTATTTGGATCGACAGTATTATCTCATGGCGACTATAGAACCACACAGTTTCGGTATGCCATCTAGTAAACTCTGATGCAATTTTCGAATAATATTTGTGCGTTACGCTCTCTGTAAAATTATTGAAACTAATTCTGAAACCATCTTCATAATTCTGGACGTAGAGGAACAACTATCAGAAAATCCCGGAAAATTCTAGCATCTCATGTCACGGTGTATGAATGTTGAGTCGCAGTCGTGTGACTCTACATGTTTACAGTTAATTACTCAGGAGAGGCTACTGAAATTTGAACTGAAATGAAGTCATTTTTTAAAGTGAGTCAAGAAAATTAATCTCATTGCTAAGTAATTTAATTTAGCATTTCACTTGCTAAATTCCGCTCACCGGTGGTTGAGCGTTAAAATCGCTGAACACTGAACGTTCAGTCCGTGGTTTGAATCCTGGCGAATGGGCTGGCTGCATGGCTGTTTTGCGTATTTTAAGCCAATTGTCAATTGGCTGTCGTGTATACAAGCCAATTGTCTTTAGAAAGTCCACCACGAAGGCATCCCTCCCTTAGTCAGATAGCTCTCGAGTGCTTTTCCATAAGCAAGTAAAGTAAA